CGGTGAGGGCAGAAGGGCATATCATATTCCTCTGGCTGAGACTGGTGACAAACAACCTTTCTTTCCCTTAATAGCCTCTTTGCTGCTTTGAAGAAGTCATGTTTTCCTGATGACCAGTGTCAAAGCAGTTGAAAATTGCCACCCCTTCTGTTGCAGGGTACAATTATTACACAGCGGGAAACAGCAGGTATGATGACATCTCTACATCAACAGACGTGGCTTCAGTTCCTCTGACAGCGGTGGCGTTATGAAGGATGGTAATAAAAGAGATGCTTCTGAGAAGTGCAATTTTACCAGTTCTAATTGCTATTTGACTTTTATTGATGGCAAAACATGAGATGTTTCATATTTATAAAATAAGATGAGGGCTGCAGTTTAGTTAGTTTTTCCCCCCAACATCAAGGAAGAAGGTAATGTTTGTTTAGGACAGTGCAAATCCTAATTGCTGATATGTTTTTTCCTCTGTTAACTCAAGACACTGCCTGATTTTTGTATACTTTCACAGCAGTGTTTAGAATTTGTGAATACAAATAAAATTCACTCAAATGTAAAACCTAAAGCTACTTAAAAAGACCCTCAAGTGGCAAATGTACCACAAAGCGTCTCATTTATCTGTGTAAAACAGAACAAACATGTTCAACCACCGGCAGGGCTCAGTGTAGCCTTTCTGTGTTGTTAGCAGATTTGCTCCATGATAGTTACCCCTACACTCCACAAACATGCATTTTATATCTGAAACAAAGAGCAACTTAAATCCACCTACTTGTATGTTGTCAAAGGACGTTTTGTTGGTGACATCATATAGCAGAAGCAGAGCTGGAAGAAACAGGAAAGCAGCACTGGAAAATTCATGACTAAACATAATAAAACATTTTTTAGTGCAGAACAGTTTGGTGGAAAAAATTCTCAGCAAATGCTTAATTTAATCTTTAAACTTTATGTATCAATTCCCTTTCAAATTAAATTTTGAAAGTTCATTTTCACTCTGTGCACAGTCCTGTATCACACTTAAGCTGGACTCAGACCAGAGTTTACACCTTAGCTGGTTAAATTACACATCTCCTGACTCACTGATGCAATACATGCTGGAGACATTGGCTAAGTATGGTAAAATACACCATACATATTAAAATGACAATACAAACTGAGAACTGATTTGGTTTTGTCTGGTCAGTAGCACTGTTGTCAACAAGCCTGTCCTAACAAGCCTCAAATTGGAGTTTGTCCATTTATACCACCTGTTTTAATCAAAGCCCTGTCACGTTACCAGCTGTTCTGCAGGCATTCC